TGGATTTTACTACAATAAATACAAATAAAAATAAGTTCTAATGATAAATGTTATTTTAAATGGTATAAGTATTAGTAATTCTCTGAAAGGCAATATTTTTTTAATTACAATATTTTTTAATTATATTTCTTTCGTTTAATATCAAAATGAAAAACGGTTATGATAGGACGAATGTTATGAAATAATTTTTTAACAACGTAAGTGGGTGCATAATAAATAGTCTAATGCACGAATGAAATATAATTTGTTGATTAAATGTGTAAAGTAACTATTTCTTAGAAACATGTGAGGGTTAGTTGCGAGTGCTAGAAATGAATTTATACAGATAATAATTATTGTCTGCATGCAGAATGACATCCTTCTAGTCATTATTTCGTGGGATACCGGTTATGAGGCATCCTGTAGACTTGTACAAATGCAACTGATCGCAATCGGCGGGGACCGAATACAGTCTGCCGGTTCAGACCATTTTCGGTGTCAAGGTGTTCCAGAAAACGCACGCTATCGGTGAGGCCTTCGTTTTCCAACGAAACGTTAATTCATTCATGGCACGCACCGCAAGGGGAATAACCTGTGCGACCACAATTACCATGAAAAATCATCTTCGATCAATTACTCCAATGAACGTGCTCACTTTTGGACACACGCATGCGATATTGTTAATTTAACGAAAGCATCATTTAAAGACACTGCCATTCATTCTTTAATGTATAATGTGTTACTTTAGAAAGTTATAAGTCAATTTATTTATATTATTAATATTATATTAATATTAATATATATATTTTTATTAAACTAAGTTATTATTAATAAATAAGTTATACTAAAAATTAAAGCTACTTAAAAATAAGCTACTTAAAATTAAGTGGCTCGTCAAATATTATTTTCAGAACTTCTTCTGAATAAAAATTTCATCCGATACAAATTCGATTAAAATTCGATTGTATAATTTGATCGTCGAATTATTGAATAATTGAAGTAATTCGTGAAGCCTCGATCGCAGTTCGCTGCGTTGCGTCCCAAAGCGAAGTAAACGCCGAATGTCACGCGCGATACGATACAGAAAAAACTAAATATAAATATTCTCGTTATTAGATACGTGTTTTAATTTCAGAACAAATAACGGCTATCTGCGGCTTTTTCGATATACCGAGATAAGCCAACAAATGCCAATGTAAATCAGCCGGTCCAAACGTGACGCGTCCCGAGATAATGCTCGCGAACGAAATTATAACAAATCAACGATAGTCGAACGAGAAATCCCGATTAAAGGAAACATGCCGACTCTAACGGAGTTTTCACGAAAAAAATTCGTTTGTAACGATTTTACCGGCCTCTTTGTAAACGTTTAATCGAGCACAAGATAAACAGTTTATCGAACGATGGAATCTGTGAATTTTATGTACAACGAAATTTTCTGTTTATTGATATATGATAAGACTTACAATTAAATGAACACATTTTTTCGATTCTTTCGTTCATCAGAATTTATTAGCCGAGTGCAAAAGTTTACGTTATTTCATAAAACCGCGAACATTTCTCGTTGCACATGCGAATTATTTTGTTAATTGAATTTTTATCGATTTCATTTTTATATGATTTCAGTAAGTACTGCTATGAACAATAAAAAAACATTTGCAAGCATGAACGGGATATTCAGTTCGGAAAACTGAAGAAATTGCGAAATTTTGAGAAACCTGTGAGTACCACATACATTGTAAAAGAAGCAACATTTTATCAAATCCTACAATAGCTTATGAGTTGTGTACAATTTTCATGAAACGAAGAGAAAGATATTGATTAAATAATATTTAACGAGCCACTTAATTTTAAGTGGCTTACTTTTAAGTAGCTTTAATTTTAGGTATAACTTATTTATTAATAATAACTTAGTTTAATAAAATATATTATATACATTAATATTAATATATAATATTAATAATATAAATAAATTGAGTTATAACTTACTAAAGTAGCACATTAAACATTAAAAATGATATTAACAATTCATATTAATGATATAAACAAACAGTTACGAGACAGCGGATTTTTATGCGAAGTTTTAATTTTTTTTTTATAAATAAAAAGCAACAGGGGTGAAAAAAGAATCGAAAGAATGAAATTCTATTAAAAATTCGAGTAAGATTTACATCAAATGAAAATGCTCTTAAATTCATCTCAATTTTCATAAATGAATATAGTTCTCTATTGGCACCGGGCCGGCCGTTGTTATTCGGCTATCTAGTTTCTGACAATTAATTTAAAATTTCACATGTTTCATTCAGGTCCATGGCATAAGGTCTTCAAAAATATGTCTAGAAAAATGAGAAAACAAATTACGAAAAGTTCCGCCGTTCGAGGTGTCAATGATATCTCTGCATCCAAAAGGAACCCTGTAATACAATCGGTGAAATCAACTTTGTCCTTGTTTTTGCGAATCTGTTAAGACAGAAATTCGCGTAAGACCGCGCAATCTTACTTTCGAAAGCAACGGAACCCACGAGATCAACGATGCTACTTAAGCACGAAAATCAAAGAAATCGTAATTTAATCACCAGCGTGTGTCCATTCATCTGATTCGTCGGCGTTTTCGGCTCGTAAGTGGTCGTAGCCTCCTCAGTATGCGTCATGATCATTTTCTTCTCTTAAATCGAACGTAACCAGAATGAAACTACCTTCGACGGGAATACTTCGTGCACTGTCCGACGTGTTTCACGCATCTTCGTTCTCACATTTTCGGGTAGCCGGACTCCCTCTTCCGAATTCCCTTCCGGCAACTTATTAACGAAACGCGCGTCGCGACAATCGATTAACAACGCCCGATGCTCTCGTGAAAAAGTCGTTCGACTCAATATCCGTCAGATAGAATTCTAACACTAAACAAATTCATCCGTACTCCGTTCGGAACGATGCATCTATTCCATGCTGCGACTAGATGTCTGACGGTCACCTTTCAGCTCCTTTCGCGAGGATCTTGTCATTAGGATCGATCGCACTGTCTCTGCACCACCCACTCGGTCCTACCGATCTANAAAATTCGAGTAAGATTTACATCAAATGAAAATGCTCTTAAATTCATCTCAATTTTCATAAATGAATATAGTTCTCTATTGGCACCGGGCCGGCCGTTGTTATTCGGCTATCTAGTTTCTGACAATTAATTTAAAATTTCACATGTTTCATTCAGGTCCATGGCATAAGGTCTTCAAAAATATGTCTAGAAAAATGAGAAAACAAATTACGAAAAGTTCCGCCGTTCGAGGTGTCAATGATATCTCTGCATCCAAAAGGAACCCTGTAATACAATCGGTGAAATCAACTTTGTCCTTGTTTTTGCGAATCTGTTAAGACAGAAATTCGCGTAAGACCGCGCAATCTTACTTTCGAAAGCAACGGAACCCACGAGATCAACGATGCTACTTAAGCACGAAAATCAAAGAAATCGTAATTTAATCACCAGCGTGTGTCCATTCATCTGATTCGTCGGCGTTTTCGGCTCGTAAGTGGTCGTAGCCTCCTCAGTATGCGTCATGATCATTTTCTTCTCTTAAATCGAACGTAACCAGAATGAAACTACCTTCGACGGGAATACTTCGTGCACTGTCCGACGTGTTTCACGCATCTTCGTTCTCACATTTTCGGGTAGCCGGACTCCCTCTTCCGAATTCCCTTCCGGCAACTTATTAACGAAACGCGCGTCGCGACAATCGATTAACAACGCCCGATGCTCTCGTGAAAAAGTCGTTCGACTCAATATCCGTCAGATAGAATTCTAACACTAAACAAATTCATCCGTACTCCGTTCGGAACGATGCATCTATTCCATGCTGCGACTAGATGTCTGACGGTCACCTTTCAGCTCCTTTCGCGAGGATCTTGTCATTAGGATCGATCGCACTGTCTCTGCACCACCCACTCGGTCCTACCGATCTATAACTCCATTGTCTCCGAGTGTCGCAACGTTCCGAAACCTCGCGAGACGTACATTTTTCACTTTACAAATTGGTTGTGCTGACAAGAGTTTCGGAGCCCGAAATCGTCACGGAGGGTCACACTTGACGGACGACGAGGCTCGGCGATTGCTCGGCAGGATCGGCGAGCGCAGGAGTTTTACGACCGCGATTCCGGACCGTTTCGATTTCGGACGACGTTACGATGAAGATCTTTTTGGTGGCAGCGATCGATTCGCCGTCGATACGAATGAACCCGAACGGTGCGATTTTTCGGGACGCGAAAGCGCAACGAACCAAAGAGAGAAAAGGAGCCGGTGCTACCGGCCGGCTTGCCGCACACTGACTTCTGACTGGTCGAGCTAGTAGGTGACTGCAGGGACCCCTTCCATAACGCATAGCAACTGCTCGTAAGACGACTGATAAGTTCTTGCATTCTGCTGGGACCTGGGACCGACAGATCGTCCTGGCGTGGCATGGCGGTCGCGCCGCGACGCCGAGCGAGCGTGCTAATAGCGCCGCGCCTGCCCGATGCTAAATTGCTTTTGTCTTTCTATAATGGGAATAGCGGGACCCGGCGATCGAAAAATCTTTCACAAGTTTTTCACAAGCCGAGACTATGGCGCGTTAATCATAGCGACAAGCTGCAGATTAATCTGGCTTGATACCGTACCGCGCCGCGCCTCGCGGTAGCCTGTAAACCCGTTCTTCGTGGCCAAAATACAATTTTTGAACCTTCACATTATGGCAATAGTTTTGGATGATACAATTGACAACTTCTCAATGCTTCAGAATTCGAAATATTAACCTTTTTGGATAATCTTAGAGACAGCTAGCGATTAAATTACTACTGTTAATCGTTAATCGCGGTTAACGATCAAATTTCTTGTAATTGTTAGTCGCGATTAGCGACTGAGGTATCCTCTCCCTAAATACAAAAATATTGCTGAATTTCAGAAAATAGGTTGAATACAAAAACCTGATATGATTTGATCGTGAAGGCATGTGATTTTGTGTTTTGTTTTTTCTAAGCGTTATTGTTTTTGCCGAGTTGAATCGTGTCAGTTAACGCAGACATCTCATAAAGAGAGAACACATATTTTATATCTTCTTTAATTAAATAAAAGTTCTAATTGAAAGGTTAAATAATGAAAAGTAGTAAAGTTATTCTCATAACTAAATATAATTCAATAAATATAATAAACCAATAAACATGATGAAAACAAATCTTAACGGAATTACAAGAAAATATCCTTGGTAATATTAAATTGTCTCATTTAATCGACGATTGACAATTAATCTCTTCAATCGTTTAATTCAGTGCTCGATGTTTCTACGATTCACATTCCTCGATCGATTAATTCAATCGTCGACTTTCAATCGCTTTTAATCGCATTCAACAATAATCTAATCGAATTAAAATTTTTAATCGACTGATGCACAACACCAGTATAGTAGTAGATTGTACAGTAGACTGATATATTAGGAAGCGATAATGTCATCGGAATTTGGAGCAACAAGTTTTTGAAGTATCCGCCATCGCTGTATAGGTAGCGTGCCTCAATTAACTCGCAAATTCCTTTAGAACAACTTGAAACTTGTCCTGCGGTACACCTCGGGTGCACAGCTTTACAACGACCGCAAGAAGGATCTCCTGTAATTCAAATTATGCTACACCTCTTCTTACAATCGACAGGTTCTTGAGAATACGGTTGTGTTTCTCTTTAAAATAATATTTAGGGTTCTATTAGGGAGTTATTAATTTTGTCGCAGAATATCCTCTCTCTATAGCATCGAACACCGTGCGTCATTATGAAATTTTGATGAATATTTTCATTTCTAACACGAACTCGAACAAATAAAACTGGTTTTTTAAAGTAAAGTTTAACGTGTCCCGATGTAGCGTACAAAAATTCTGAATATATATAATAATAAATATAATAAATATATATAACAAAATAAATAAATAAAATATATATATATATATATATAAATATAAATATGTATAAAATTATTTATTTATGCATAACTAAATGATTGTTTAAAGATGCATGGAAAAGCAATTTTATAATTCTACAAGTGGATGAAATTAAACTGATCCCGAATGTAGTGTTCGAATAGTTTTACAATCTTTATTTGTGTGTGCATAACTTATTCGAATGAAGTATTATGCGAATAATTTATTCGAATAAATAGCTACATTAATTTACGACGAATAAAATATTCGACTAAAAAGAATTCATTCAGATAATTATCTTAGATACATATCGAGAGAGAGAGAGAGAGAGAGAGAGAGAGAGAGATTCGAAACAACTCGAATAATGCAAAACACTGGATCGAGCACTATGCAACAGTTTTCTTTCTTCGATTCTGGAAATTGCCGTGACGGTAGAGAGATCTCTCAACAATTCGTAACGAATCTGGGAAACGGCTGGTGAAAAAATCGTACTGATAACACAACGTTGCGGTGTACCTCCTGCGAGAAAATGGCAAGGCCGACGCGTCTCGTACCGGCACGTCGCGTAGCCGTTCACAAAAAGGAAAATCCGCAGGGTCACTTTATGCGTCGTCGGGCAGCCGTAAATCAAACGAAGGATGCAATATTATTAAATCATGCGCGCTCTCGATTCCTGCTATTACGGCGAGGATTTTCTATCGATCTTATCGGGCCGTTTCATCCATCTTATCGGGACAGTACGAAACGCCTACACGTTCGTAATCACCGCACACAGTTGAACCGCAGCGCGACCTACACCAACATACGATAAAACTAAACAGTATGTAGTATGCGGCGGAGATACAAAGAGATATAGCTAAAGCGACTCGGCTTGAATGAGGTGCAAATGCGGCCGACGGAATGTTCGCATACGCTCGGCAACAAATAAAAATATTCGGACACTGTACGCGATTTCACTATTCTTGCTCCATTTGTCAACAGCACGTATTATTTGTATCAATGTGTATTCATTTGTAATATTGTCAATAATTCTCCGCGTCCACTTGCAGCAATGCATTCCATTTGTCAATGATACAGGAAACGTATTTTTGTTACCATTTTCAGTGTGTAATTTTATTTACGGTGCTATTTCTTGTTGTGCATATTTTTTCTTTTCCATGATACTGCAACACTGGTACAGCAACCGATTTGAATTTTACATAAATATCGAGTTCAAAATAAATTCTGTTCGAAGCAAATAACTTGTCCTGTCCGCTTCCTTGTTTTAAATTCGAATCAGACGAATACGAAAAAGACTGCGCCCATTCTGAAAAGTAGTGCAAGATAACTCTGATCGTTCTTCTTTGAATAATTCTGTACAATAAGCAATTTCTAGAGCTTCGAACGGTAAAACGCGTGCATTTCGGAAAATGAAGCATCCAAGTTCTTATGTCACCAAACCTGAAAGCAGTAGAAAAACCAGTTCTTCGATGCATTATTAACAAGATAGAACATACAAAAATCACCGATAGGATGCCGGTACATAAGAAAAGCAATTTGTTGGACAGCACTCTTATTGTTATTATTGTACACCTCGCGATCACCCAGTATAATTAACTACTAATTATTGGGAACGTCAGTTCTTTTGTTTTTTATTTTCTTCTCAATGATTACGAGCATTTTATGAGGTCGGCCAACGTAATGAATAGATTCAATCAAAGCACAGCGAGGGGGATGGACCAGAAAATCAAACTCAATGAACATTAATGACTAATTAACCACCAATGAATAAGAGCTTTAAAAGAGGTTCTATATTGTATTAAACCAAACATTCCCGGCTATAAAACTCGTCCTATTACGTCTCGCTTTATTGGTGTCGCTGATTTCAGTACAAGTTAACGTTAGATGCAAATCGCTAATGTTGTAGTTTACTTCGTCGTTTACGCTATCTGGATCGGTTCTTATCGCTAACCTAGTTGATAACACTGTGCAGTCAATGGAAACTGCCTTTATTTGAATGTAATCTAGTCTCACTGAATGGTGACCTAGCATGTAGGGCAATGTGCGAAGAAATAGCGCGATTAGCCTCTAAAATCTTGAACTTCACAGCAATCGAGAATGACAAACGTTGCAACGCACATATTAGCTCTCCCGTTTTCTAAAATTGTATGTGAGGCCAAACCACGATGCCTAAGACACTTCCACAAATTCAAAGCAGTTTAGTTAATGGAACTAATAATAGAGAAATTAAGTTCTTCAATCAGTTTGTAATTTAAAGATCCTAAAATAGGTTTCATCACAATGAAAGTTGATTTCTAAATCTGATCAAATTGTGTTAAACTATTCGTATTTATACTTTATTTTACACTTTACACCATGCTCTGATATTACATTAGCACTGTTATCGTTAACGTACATTATTTGTTATACGTAGATGTTACAATCGAAAATATTAATATCATTCACGTTTATGTTTATATTTCCTACTTGCTTTCTTTATAATACTGCTGACAATCTTTTCATACAAGTCCTTTCCTTTGGATGGAATCGTCATTTTTTTGCAAATTTTCATCCACTTACATTTCGAGTATTTTTCTGAATCAAAGCTGAAGACAGTGTTGCGATTTATTTTCAACAAATTTAACTGATCTACCAACACTGGTAGTTGCTATATATATATCCACAATGTCCTGACACTATGTTATTTTAAAGTTACTAAAAAATTATTAAAAAGTTATCTCTGTTTAAAAGGCGTCTTTCCGTGCACGTGAAAGTAAATACTCATATCAACTGATGTAACACTATTAGGAAATAGCACTATAATATATAATATGTATAACACTATAATAATAGTTATATCACTATAATATACATATAGTTACACATAAAAGTTATATAATAGTTATATAACAGTTATAACACTAATAACAGCAATATAACACTATAATAATAAATAATATATATAACATTATAATATAAAAATGACACTATAGGAAATAATCTCTGAAACTATTTATATTTCAAGCATTATTTCCTCCGGGAGTGAATAGTTCGAAGAACATCGAGCTAATAAACCATTTTCTGCGCAAAAACTACTAAAAACTTACGAAAATCTCGAGAACCGGATCATGGTGAATGCGATACAAATACTTGATGAAAAAAGTCTCCCAAATTTGGAGAAACGATATCACGGTCACGGGACGTCGAAATGCAGTTGCGTGTTGTATGCTGTTCGTGGCATAAGCCGCGCGTGTCGTGGGTGCCAAACGAGCAAGAAGGAGAACGAGGCAAATAATAAAAATAATTCGTTCCGCGAAATCGCGGAACAGGCTGCACAGGCTGGTGCAGACAACCAAATAAACTGTTCGCGTGCGTCCATCCAGACGTTTCATTCATTTTCACGTTTACTCGTTATACTGTTCGATAATGGTGCTGCCATTTATTGTTACGATTCCAACATACAACTAAGACTGAATGATGCATACTCCAAATTAAGTTGTTGACGCAGTTAATAAGAATTAGATTGGTTAAGAGAAACATCATTTATGACATCATTGTAGAGATGAACGATTCTATTGAAAAATAATTAACCATTTTGTGATTAAGCTTTGTAAAATCATATAAATCAGAGAATTCGAAAAAGTATTCTACTAAGCCTCGTGCCTTCCTTAACCCGAGAAAGATAACCTACGTCGCAGAGGCGCCTGCGAAGACTGTTGATTTTTGTTAATTTTTCATAGAGGTCTAGTGATTTAAGTTTAAAATTACTTAAAATATAAAAAAATATAATATAAATGCATTTTATTTTTACAATAATGCCAAACCTTTAAAATGACTAGATTAACTTAAATAAATATCCATTGTTAGTATAAAATTGACGCCTTAGAAAAGCATGCGCCTCTGAAGCGCTGTCTCTTATACACATCTAATTTCAGTACCGCAAATGATATTTTTATAGATGTGTATAAGAGACAGCCTCTGAAGCGTATGGTTATCTTTTACGTACGTTGTCATATGGCTGTCTCTTATACACATCTAATTTCAGTACCGCAAATGATATTTTTATAGATGTGTATAAGAGACAGCCTCTGAAGCGTATGGTTATCTTTTACGTACGTTGTCATATGGCTGTCTCTTATACACATCTAATTTCAGTACCGCAAATGATATTTTTATAGATGTGTATAAGAGACAGCCTCTGAAGCGTATGGTTATCTTTTACGTACGTTGTCATATGGCTGTCTCTTATACACATCTAATTTCAGTACCGCAAATGATATTTTTATAGATGTGTATAAGAGACAGCCTCTGAAGCGTATGGTTATCTTTTACGTACGTTGTCATATGGCTGTCTCTTATACACATCTAATTTCAGTACCGCAAATGATATTTTTATAGATGTGTATAAGAGACAGCCTCTGAAGCGTATGGTTATCTTTTACGTACGTTGTCATATGGCTGTCTCTTATACACATCTAATTTCAGTACCGCAAATGATATTTTTATAGATGTGTATAAGAGACAGCCTCTGAAGCGTATGGTTATCTTTTACGTACGTTGTCATATGGTTATCTTTCTAGGGTTAAGGTAAACATTCAATGCCTTGGTTTCTTTCTGTTTATAATATATATTTATGCAACATAATGCACGGTCTATGTTTAATAAATGCACTGTTTGAGAAGTATCAGCAATAAGACGTCACGAATAAATTCACGAACAAATTCTGGACGTTATATGTATTGTTTACACACCGAATATTTAATTATCATTATCATAAACATGTAACGAGAACATATTTCGTAATATGATTAAACGAGCTTACATTCTTATCGATAGTATGCTTATCTCACGGTCACCGATGACCGGCGTATCATAATGCGTAATTATTGAATAACACACTTTTTGTATTACGCTGTTATCCGGTTGTTCATGTTATTCGATATTTTTATTAAATCGCTTTGACCTGTTGCGAACATTTCATTTTTAAAACATCCGTACTTTGTGACTATTAAAACATCGACAAAACAAGTAATGGTCACGGACGATCGTGTCACAATTGAAATACATGCGAAATAGTAAGTAAAATCATTGTAAAATCACCACATTAAACTACGCGTTACCCAGAACTTCATACACCTAACGCAGAAGTCTAATGATTTCATTTCGAATTAATCTGATTAATGAATATGAGGTATACATCGCTCATACAAACGAATCATTTAATTTTTTTATCTTTAAAAGAAGTGGGGCAAGTTTTTCAGCAAAGAACATTCACAAGGTCATTTCATTCTACAACTATCAATAATCTTACAGAGAAGCAATGTGAATTCAGTCTTCTTAATTAACTGAAATTAATCATTATCTTACCAAAATTTCAATTATTTATTTGCGTAACTTACATCAATCTACAGTCTACAATAATGACATCAGCGTAAAATACAACGATATTTCCACAAATACAGACAATAAATAGATTTATTATTAGTATTACTTCATTAGGTCCAAACGTAGTTATTTAGAGCTTCATTGAGATATCATAAAAATATCATTTGCGGTACTGAAATTACAAAACGATAACTTAATCTGTATTAGGTTCTATATTTATCGCATCGTGTCACGAACAACGACATTGAAAACTAATCAGAAATTCTTGTTATTATTTTCGAGCAGTTCATGTGCTCAAATAAAAACGGTAAGAACTTTCTAATCTCATTCGAACGGCAAACAGAAATGTTGTCGCGTTCTATAAGAAATATGGAACTATTAGTAAAAATTTCCATAAATCGATAAAACATGTGATGTCGTAATAATTAAATTTCATATTCCTTAATTTGATTTCATGTTAAGAGTACCAAGACGATTAAGTTTGCTTGCATCGTTGAAATTATAAATCAGTAATACGAATATTTTGCAAAACATAAACTCATAATTGCCGCATCGTGTGCAAAATGTAACACAGACATATACCAACGACAAGGAAATTATTATGAATATAGTTCGTCTTACCCCGATAAAACAGGTTATCTAAGCGCAAGCGATCAATTACATTCGTAAAAAATACGTCATTCTATGTATGTATACGTTGCGAATCAGCCTTTTCTAATCTGAACTCTGCGCGTAATCACGTTAATAAATTGAGTATTCAATAGCGGACTGAAAATTGTATTAATTATTCTGTACTTGTTACAACCGGAATAGACGAGTAGTATAATAATTAGACTGCGGACTTTTATGCAAAATGAAAATTGGCTGCATTAATGGGGAGAAATAGAAGCTGAATAGTGAGTGAATTCTTTCTATAATCACATTAACTAATTAAAAATAAAACACTGACATTTTTCAATTCTGTTAATCTCTCTTCTATTTTAAATTGCAACCACCCGATTATAGTTACCGATTATCAACAACTATAAAAACGAGCTGCAAGACTCGAATAATCGTATCTCCTCTCCCCAAATTGTCCATTTTTGCGCGCAACCCGAGCGCAAATTTGGGAGAAATTACTGTAAATTGTTCAATACCAATAGTAACTTCAGTCACGAACCCCAATATATATATATATATATATATATATATATTTATGTTTCTATTATTTTTTTAAATTTGTATTTAATTTATATATTAGTATATTTAAAGNTAAAAAATACGTCATTCTATGTATGTATACGTTGCGAATCAGCCTTTTCTAATCTGAACTCTGCGCGTAATCACGTTAATAAATTGAGTATTCAATAGCGGACTGAAAATTGTATTAATTATTCTGTACTTGTTACAACCGGAATAGACGAGTAGTATAATAATTAGACTGCGGACTTTTATGCAAAATGAAAATTGGCTGCATTAATGGGGAGAAATAGAAGCTGAATAGTGAGTGAATTCTTTCTATAATCACATTAACTAATTAAAAATAAAACACTGACATTTTTCAATTCTGTTAATCTCTCTTCTATTTTAAATTGCAACCACCCGATTATAGTTACCGATTATCAACAACTATAAAAACGAGCTGCAAGACTCGAATAATCGTATCTCCTCTCCCCAAATTGTCCATTTTTGCGCGCAACCCGAGCGCAAATTTGGGAGAAATTACTGTAAATTGTTCAATACCAATAATAATAATATAATAATAATATAATTTCGTTTTTTTCTATTTATTATAGTAGTTATCTCAATTTTAAGGTTAATGAAGTTACACTGATTGGCTCCCGAGTCGTCCATATGTATCGTCTCCCTTACGGGGACACCCGGTATGCAGATCACAAAGGGTGTGGTCTCGCAGCGCAAAGGGAGAAAAATCTCTTTGCTCTCTTAAGACGCATTATCGTGCGTAACGCATCGTATTTCAGCCACAGCTGGTTCGAAGAGGCCTGATATCTCCCGCGAAAATAAACGTCTCGTAACGCGTCTACTCGCTCGTACGCAACCATACAGGGTGGCTAACATTGCAGCGAGACACAGTACACCGTTCACCTAATTGTACACAAGAAGAAAATAAACTAGATTTGTCAAGAATTAACTGTATTATTTGTTTTTCTCAAATCTGCAACTCGCGCGTCTTGTACTTTGCAATTTTCGTCGCTCGAAATCATTTTATCATGCCGCGGAAGTACAGATATTTTTGTTAATATTATGTTATTTATTTATATTAATATTTTGTTAATTTGTGTTCATCTTGCTTGCAGCGTCAAGTACAGCGTTAATACGTTGCAATTATCGGCGACAGAAACGAGTATAAAATTAAAGATGACTTATCATCGAAACGTACATATGCCTTGCTTGTTCAACATTTGAAATCATCAGAACGACTCTGGCGCGATATTACAATGCAAGGGGTTAATAACTGATGATTGAATTATGATGTACTTCCTGTTTCAGTCGTGAAGCTTACGTTGTGTATGTGCTTAGTAAGAGCATCCTAAGACTTACGAGACGGTAAATAAAGAAGAATTCTGTAAGACTATACATAGTGTACACTATCTCATATTTCCTACTGCATACCAATCATCGATGGAAAAATCTGACTTGCAACGGGTTCCGTCAGAGACTCTTCTTACATTGTTACAAGCCTTGCCGATAGTTCCAGTATTTTTGCTAATCGTGTGTTTTCGCTAGTCACCGTATATACATGGCTCGGAGTCATTGTGCGGCCAATATAAAGAAAAAACAAATTTTTAATTTTGTTTGGAGCGTAACGCTATCAGCAAATATTAATTTTCGGAGAATTTATTCATCTTTAGAGACTGATGTCAAGTAGAAATTAGGACTTTCTCTGTTAAGTGTTCTATCGCATTTTCGTTTATTGCACCGACCCTTTGATGGTCGAAAGTGTTTGCCCTCTTCTATTTCAGAATTTGCTATCACGTTATAGAATTCAATCGAACTTCCCAAACTGTTTAAGATAGTTAAGAAATATTAACATTGTCCTATAATTGTGACATTATTCATGGATGTAATGTAGATCAGCAAAGTAAGTAGCTATTAATGCAATAGTGAAAATCGAGTCAGACAAAGGATTAAATATTATTCTATATCGAAATTTCTCCCTAATTCGCGCTCAGATTGCGCACAAAAATGGACAATTTGAGAAGAGGAGATACGATTATTTGAGCCTTGCACCTCGTTTTTATAATTGTTGACAATCGGCAAGGTTAAAAATGAGCCGCGAGGCTCGAACAATCGTATCTCCTCTTCCCAAATCGTCCATTTTTGTTTATAATCTGAAGGAAAATTGAGGAGAATTTACTATATACAGTGAGCCAAGAAAGCATTAGAACGCCTTTTAGAACGGAATGATCTCTTCATAATTGGGCCATGCGATGTAACTTTCTTTACGGTGTTAAAGGGACTAGTTTGCTAGACAACGGTTAAAGGACTTAACAAAAAAAAATGCAATTGGTTGGAGAGATAAATAAAGGTAAGAAAATTTCTATGGTTTCAGGTAACGATTAGTAGAATAAAAAATGAAATACAGTCAATTAAAAATTATTTATTGCTTGTTTGGTTTGATACTAGTGACAAGCGAAACAACTCGTTATTGTCAAAAATCCGATTGTCAACAATTATAAAAACGAGATGCAAGGTTATATTTATCTCTTCTTCTCAAATTGTCCATTTTTGTGCGCAATCTGAGCGCGAATTGGGGAAAAATTACTGTATACGCAATCATACATGTTAAAACTGCACATCATTCGCGGTCCAATAATTACAATGGTCCATACTGAATTCCAAACAACTCATTTCTTGGTAGAAGGGAACTGTCTAACCTGACACTTCTTAACCGCATGATTTCGTGTGATACAACTCTATTCTTTCACGAACATTCTCGTAGTGCTGGGTTCCTTGGCACTCACTGACAAATTGGAATACGTGCCTACTAGTCGAGAAGAATGATAGTAATTAGGTGGTAAGCTTTAAATTACCAGTGCGCTTTCTCGGAGGCCACGCTTAATTAGTCCTTCGGTGCACGATCCGATGGAAAAACAAATACGATAGAGTATATAATACGTTGATTACATACACTAAGATTCTTGTGAACTTGGGAAGAAAGGAACTGATGAAACCCATACTTATCGTAAACGTTTTACCGTTGATTTCTATGATTTATTTACTGCAGAACTTACGTATTTATTGCAGAACTGTACGATTCAATTTATTCCCAACACGTTCACTGCCACGTGCAACGCACGCGATTCACAGTCGAAATCATTGTTGAAATCGTGTTTTAACTCGGACAAAAAAGTTAAAATACGAGGGTTTTTAATTCCTTCTTTTCATTCCAAGTATGTAGTAGCAAAATTAGAAGAAAGCTTTTTAGTCTAGTTGACTAGTTCCTCTATCACCTAAAAATATTCGAGTCGTTTAGTTCAGTTTTAAAATAGTTATTCCGTTTTAAAAGGTGTACGAACACTTTTGTGGGCCACTGTACTGTATCAAATAAGAACGTATTGGTCGATGACACGAGGTACAATCGAAAATGTAGAAAAGTGTACGGTCAAACTCTCAAGCAATTTAATACTTCTAAAAAAACTTCGTTTTTTTACGAAATTTCATCGTTATCATCAAATTTGGTCTTCTATATTTCTAAAAAATTCCGTACCTTTTGTTGTTACTACCTTCTCAGTGAACGTCGGGCAACAACTAAAACATATACATCGTACACGTTTAGGCTGAGGTCGAGGTCACATATACGTACGTATAAGCAGATTATAATATATATTTACTAATATTACTTAATAACTTCTTAATAATAAAAAAAACAGCGTGGATTAAAACCGTTTAAAAGTTCCTCAGCATAACGTACCCGACCGCATGTGTCAAGATCGGGATCATCGTTGCTGTCTTCCCTAAACGCAAGTTTTATCACGCAACCATAGGTATATACATTTCACGAAAGGAAACACCGAAGAGAGCCTAACCGCCATATAAGCGCACGAACAATCGTGACAACCGAACTCAACATACTGGTTCTTAATAATTTATAGCTTCACAATCATGAATCACACCCGTGTTCTCAATTACCGTCAGCCGAAGCACCGTGCGGTATCGGTAATTAATCGTACGCATCCAGTTGCGCCAATTAAGCCAAACGCTCGGTGCGTTTCACTTAAGTTTTCCTCGCAGCGAATCGCCGACGAGTTAATTTTTCGTTATTTATGGTGGCCGGTAATTCTCATAAGTAACATCAATTACAAGGGCGCGGTATGTTTTCCGTGCGGCATTCAGGGTTGCAGGTTCTAAATACTTGCACGCCGCACGCACACGCAACGTCTGCACGTAAACACAAACCTTGCATACTGCATACCGCCGCGTCTTGCTTCACTGCAACGGTCAATGACTTCTGGTTACAGCCGCTCCAGCGTTCGAAGTTTTCGCCACAAATTTCGTTTCTTCATAAATATTTACGGCCCGGAAGCGTGATCGGTCGATCAGTGTATAAGTCCACTTTTCTTGGAAAATTAACACTGGATTTACGGAGTTTGTCAAAATGACGGGTTACTAATTTTTTAATTTACGATTATTCATGTCGTAAAGATACATTTATGAGTTATTTGTCCAATTTATACGTTACTTACGGCAAATGTTGCAATAACACTTGTTCAAAATCAGAATAAATGTCTTATTGTTACTTTTATAAACGAATATAAAACAGCTGTTTTTTGTGTGCTCCGTAAATCTAGTGTTAATTACGAAGTGCGAACACATCTTTATCACAGAATCTTTTGGTCGGTAAATCAATATAGTCGACTTCTTTATAAATAAACAATAGATGGCAGCACCTATATTGACCACGGAACAATTAAACAAAATTGTTCAGAGGGAACTGTTTTTCCTTAAAAAACAAACATTCGCAATCTTCTTTTGTTGGTTCTCTTCTGATTAAGTACATTTGTATGTCATCTTTTTTAGAATCAAAATTGTGCTTTGCATTAGTACCGGCATTGTTATTTTTTTACAGCTCATTTGCGAAATGCTTGTTTATCTAAATTTTGAAGTTAATGGACTTACATTGATTGTGACCGTTCTTTTGAGCCGTTCATATCGTCGTTGGATTGTAGATTCGTATACGCTTGTAACGTGGGCGGATTTGTAAAGTACGAAGAAACGTATTTCAGATTAACAAAAATTAGTAGCATCTCCATTTTAATTTCCTAATTGAATATTTTCAGTTGATCAAGAAAATTTCGGGTCCGTTACACGGACAGTGATTTACTCGACACTGTTTTACCGATGTATGCATGTCTTCACTGACATTCTATCATCGACGTTATAATTTCATCGCCATCAGTTTTCATCGTCTCGTTCTGGCGAACAAATCGATAAAGTCCTCCTCAACGATGTTAACAAAACTATTTTTAATCACTTTCTTTTGATCTACGAGTAAGAGAAAAAATACTGATATATATATATATATGTATATATATCAGTATTTTTTATATACGTACATTTGTACGTATATAAAACATATGTATACATACATATATATATATATATTTGTTTGTCAAACTTTAAAGGCATTAAAACATATAAATCACTGCGGTAAATAAAGCTATATAAAAGGTATATAAAAAAATATATAAATAATATAAATAATACATAATGTATAGTAATAAAAAATAATATATAATAATATACAAATATATATAGCTGTAAATAATAATAAATAATAATATATATTGTAAAAAAACTATATAAATTTTGATAGATGAAAAAATGTTTCTGTTTAACACTTAGTTTTCGAGAACATCGAGATTGAAAATTTGCTAAGATACAATTCGTCGCGGGACTATGTAAGGGCGTATGTAGAAAATAAATTTTCATACTCGATGTTCTTGGAAACTAAGTGTCAAATAAAAAAAGGTTATTCTATATTTTTGTCATGCTTTTTTTGGTGAAATCACCGAGCGCACGCTTGTACATACTTTCATGGACACCCTGTATTTTTCAGCAGGATAGTTCCGTAGCTCATACTGCGAACGTAATAAAAGAGTACTTTTATCGAGAAAAACTCTCGT